CAAAGACACACAGCAAACAAGACACAGGAGGGTTCGCTTACTACCTGGCGGCCCAGGCAGCAAAGCCAGGCCGGAAGTGACGATTTCAAAAGGCAGAGGGGGTGGGGGGGCGGGAGTCCTGCCACAGAAGGTGGGCCAAGCCGGGTTGGAAAGAATCAGGGAGCTGAGATCAGAGATTGGGGTGTGGGCCCAAATTCCAGCAGCCTGTCCCACTTCCTCCAAAGTGGTTTTCTGCCAAGAGTGGCTGGGGAGCCAGGGCGCCCGGGTGGTTCAGTAATTAAGCATCTACCTTCGGCTCAGGTCATGGTCCCGGGGTCCTGGGATCGAGCCCCCTGTTGGGCTCCCTGCTCCGTGAGCCTGCTTCTCCCTCTCCGTCTGCTGCTCCCCCTGCTTGTGCTCTCTCTCTCTCTCTCTCTCTGCCTCTCTCTCTGTCAAATAAATAAATAAAAAATCTTACCCCAAAAAAAGAGTGGCTCGGGAGCCACGGGGGAGCCCAGCATAGTTTCAGCCTGGGCGCCCGGCCGTCAGTGGTTGGTCCCCTTCTCTACTGTCGCTACTGCTAAAAGTCAAAATGTCAAGTTAGAAAGTGTTCACCCTTCAAAAAGTAATAATAATAATAGCAAAACTTTAGATGCATCTGCCCATGAGGAGTGTGGAAATTCCCTGTGACTTTACAACCAAGCTTGGAGCCTAAGGTGGGGGTGAAAAGCAGGCCAGCTGATCTCAGGGTGAGCTGCAATCTGTTGACAGTGAAATGAAACAATCTGAGATCAAAGGCAGCTGCGAAGGGGGCGGGTGGGCAGGCTACAGCCTCAGAATAGGGACCCGTGACCTTCTTTCAGCCTCCGCTAAGGCAGCTCCAGCCCTCCCGGGCCTCCCCCTGGCCAGTAGCCCCAGAGCAGGGCGACTGCCCTGGTCTATGTAGCTGCTTCCCATGGGGAGCCTGGCCAGGTAGCTGCAATTCTGGAGAAGGGCCGCTAAGGAAAGCATGGCCCCTCAACCACCCTCAGAGTCATCTGGAATACTGTCTACCCCCACTCCTATTGATTAGGGCACACAGGTCCAGGGACACGGCATGACTGGCTCCAAGTCATACAGGGGCTGTTATCACTGAGACTAGAAACTAACCTTCCCACCATGCCGGGGACACTGTCGTCACACTCTAGCCCATTCCAATGGCAGCAGGAGACCTGAGTCAGCACGTGGCAATGGGGACTGGCCCCAGGAGCCCAGGGCTACTCCAATGTCAATGTCAGGCTTACAACGGTCTGGGAACGCCGCAGGGCACAGATAACTACTCCTCTATCCCCCTGCTGTATCTACACGGAGGAAGAGGCATTGAGTCTACACACCAAAGCCGACTCAGTAACCCAACAGCTAGCTCAATCAGAATGGGAGGAAATGCAGACACCCAGATATTCTGCCTGCTTAATATCAAAGATCCAAATGTTTTACCCCCCAAGGAGATTCGAATGACACTCTGTGCCAAAAATCGCATCTCTTTTCGTGTTTGGAAGAAAGCCACTGATTACAGGGGATATCTTCCAAGAATTATGAGCTCAATTATAGGCCAAGAGATGGATCATCTTTTTTAGCTAATAATAATGCATGAATACTTTCCTTTTTGTGTCCTCTGGGGATATTGTCACTGTTGTTGTTTTGTGGGAACAGTGACTGACTCAAAAGCAAAGTGGATGATTTATCTCTACAAGGCTTTTATTTGCCAACCTTGAAAAATTATTCAGAAACGTATTTCTTGGAAAGTGGGTATAAAATTACGTTCTCTGATTAAAGTAAAATAAAAGTGCTTTTAAAAAGTGGCTTAAGGATATAAACTCTTAAGACAATTTTCTAGGATTTTCCAGGAGCGTCCCAATTTCAATAACATTCCCCACTCTGGTCTCCATAATCATATTCTTATGTGGCAGTCCATAGATCTTTTCGTTTTATCTCCAAAATATGGTCATCCCCGAAATGAAGACATTTAAAGGTATTAAAAGTTTCAAAAAGTGCTTTCTCACTTTTTGGATTTTTCATTTGAAGATTCATCATGTTTTGTATATGTTGACATCAACACAATCACAAATTCCCCAAATTTTAATTACAATATATGTCACTTAGGAATGCTTTCAGCTGCAAAGAACAGAAAACTCAGTGCTCACGTGCTGACAGGGTCCCATTCTCTCTCTTTGCACACATCAATCTCAATTCTTTGACACCAGTCTTGTTGCTGCTTGGAGCTCGAAAGATGGCGTCCACCTCTTTCATGGACAGGACCATCTGCTTTCTAGGAAGTTATTAGGGGGTCAAGCAAGCAATTGCCTGAATGAACCCTAACTACTTTGCTTTTTACCTTCTCAGCAGACCTTTGTTTATTTACTTTGTCTCTTTGGTGAGGACGGTGTCGATTTTGTCATTCCTAATTGCAAAGGAGAACAAAAATTCAAGTTTCTTCCTCTCCAGACCCTATCATAGAAAAGGGGCATTGACTATCTGACATCATATGCCTGCTTGTTCCTTTACCAAGGCTATAGGAACTGCAGACTTTAAAGATCTCTCAAAACAACAAATAATGCATAGGGTGCAAGCTTTTAGTTGGTCAGTGCATCCTTTGAGAGTATTAAAATGGTGAAGCTCTTTCCGCCATGAATTTGTGACTCCTACTTCTGGGCCCAGAGTCCTGCCTGACATCATAGCCAAACGCATGCTTAAAGTTTTATAGCGATCGGATACTAATGGGACATTACAAACTGACTTAAGTGGCAAAATCTGCCTTTTGGACTCAGCACAGTTTCCATTGATTCTTCAGCCTTCTTTTGCTTCTTGGTCAATGTCAACGTGAGGGACATTTTTTAAAGAAACACGTAAATTACTAGTCAAGGTTTTTGCTTAATTATTTATAATTGCACGCATTTGCCTAATGGAAATTTTCATTTTATGCTGAATTTCAAGATCCTCTGGGCTAATATTTCCCCTGTTAGTGACACGGTTGCATTTTCCTCTTCATTTATTGCTCTCATAGATCCATGAAAATTCGGAGTCAGAGCAGGGGGACAATGGTAGAGAGAAAGGTTACAGATAGTCTGAGCTGTTCTAGAAACAAATTCACTGGAAGTGCCAGGGGGCATTGAAGCTTGAAGGGACCCTTGCGGTGAGGTGTCACCAGGCAGATGCATGAACACAAACATGGGGGCATAATAAGGAGGAGGTGCAGAAAAATCTGTTCATCAAAGACAAACCTTTACTGTCTCGGAAAGAGAATGAAAGTGTTGAAAGACAAATTGTCCTAGTGGAAAAGAATATTCCATTACATTCCACCCTCTCAGCACCCCCTGCTGTTCACTTTGGGGAATTGCTCGACAATCCGGGGATCCTTCCGTCTTCGCGGCTGGGACCGCAGCCTCAGGGAAGGACGTGAGAATTGTCTATCTGGCTCCATAGATTTCTGTAAAAGCACTTCAGAGTGTCTTTCTCCAAGTCTGTTCTCCAAGAAGAAGAAGGAAAAAAAAACCCAGCTCAAGGTAAAATTGTTCCAGAACTTACTGCGCTTGTCTATCAAGATAAAGTATTGGGCAATCGGTGCAAGAATTTAAGTCTTACAAAGAGGAAATTTGCAGATGTGGTCGATGTTTGGCATTTGTTAAGTACAGAAAACGAAGATACTCAGGAAAAGAAAGTCTGGAACTTTCTCTGCTGATGTTTTCCCATGGAAAAAAATAAAAGACAAGGCAAATGAAGATAGGCCAGGCAGATCCATTTCTGCAAATGCAGCCATTTCCCCCATGAAGCCAAATCACTGAGGGATTTTCAGGACAACAGACAAGTGTCTCTCCCTTTCTGCCCTTGGAAAAGTAAAGAATTCAGGTTATCGTGGCCTCTGGCAAACAGCCTCTCCTCAGAGAGGCCAAACTGCACATAGAGAATTCGAGTTCAGAGTAAGTGCTGTGGACAGAAGTTTAAAAAAAAAAAAAATCCAAGAATTTTAGAACTGAGAGGAACTTGAGGACCAACCACCCGATTCTGAAGGTGAACAAAAACTGAGACCAAGAAGTGGGAAATGCCGTGCCTGGTCCTGCATCCTGATAGAGGCAAACCGGAATGTGATCCTCGGCCTCCTAGCCCGTTCTTATCACACCATAAGCAGTTTCAAATGGAGGCTACAAAGGCCCTTTCACGCTTCTGGCAGACTATACAACCCAGAATTCCTCCAGCTATAAATACTCAAAATTACATATAAAATGTAACAAAAATATTTTAACACACAGCTGAGTTTGGGGGGAAGAAAAAAGGAAACACCAGATGCCAAAAACACAAAGGGAAGCAAAACAAGCCCCCGGGACAGATGATATGGCGGCCGTTGGGGGTGGGGTGGGAGTGCTGGAGCTGGAGATGGGCCCAAATGGTCAGAGGTTTCGAATGTTTTAAGTTCCACTTGTATAAGGACTTGTGACCTGTGCAAGATGGAGAGTAGACACTAAGACCCATTCATACCAGTGGGACCCTTACTGCGTGCCAGTAAGAGGGGCACTAGAAAGCACTTTTGGGGTAGGAGGAGGACAGAGGAATTTGGCTTCATTGGGGTGTTTAGTAGAAAAAAAAAATACCATCCCAAGAGAAATTAACCCACCAAGCCTGTGACATGGGGCAGGTGCAAACTCTGAATTTTATACACTTCCTTCATAGTCTTCTTCTTCTTCTTTTTTTTTTTTCCGAAGTAGGGCCCTGAGATCAAGACCTGAGCTGAGATCAAGAGTCAGATGCTTAACCAACTGAGCCACCCAGGTGCCCCACCCTTGGTGATCTTTTGGGAGTGCCCTTCAGGAACACATGCAAAGCTTTTCTGGAGGAACACTTTATAACTCAGGCCACAGGAGGTTTTTGTACACAAAGTGGATCACCACTAAAGATGACCTCATAATAATTACCAGGCCCGCCAACGTGGGCTGCATTCACACCAAAACCATGAAGAAGGCAGCCTGGTCACCACTGAGAAGTACTACATGTGCCTAGACAATGACTCCCACACCAACAAGCTCATGTGTGAGGAGATCACCGTTATTCCCGGCAAGAAGCCCCTCAGCAAGATCACGGGCTATGTCACACATCTGATGAAATGGATTGAGAGGGGCCCAGTGAGTGGTATCTTCATCGATCTGCAGGAGGAGGAGAGAGAAAAGAGGGATGATTTTGTTGCTCAGGTCTCCACCCTGGATCAGGAAATCATTGAAGTCGATCCTGACACTAAGGAAATGTTGAAATTCTTAGACTTAGTCTGTCCAAACTGCAGGTCCCTCAGCCTACAGTTGGAATGAATTCCAAAACACCATGTGGAACCTTGAACAACAACAATGACAAATTCCCAAAACAGATAAGGAAATGTTGTGATTTACCATGATAGAGAATCAGCAAACACAATCGTGGCTAAATGAAATGATAAATAACCAAACCAGACAAAATAAAACAAGTAAACAGAAACTACATAGAACTCTCTGGGAGAGACTATAAAATAATATTGTAAATGATTACAGAGATGAAGGAACAGAAACCATAAGGAAATAACTTTCAAAAAAGAAACTGGAAGATCCTATAAAAAGAGATTAGATTAGCAATTTTAAAACTTCCCACAAAACAAAGTTCAGACCTAGTTGGCCTCCCTGGCAAATGCTACTAAACATTCAAAGAAAAATAAATACCAATTCTTCATAAACTTTTCCAAAAATAGAAGATGAGGGAACACTTCCCAATTCCTTCTATAGGGTCAGTTATTGCCCAGTTATCAAAACCAGTCAAAGACATCACAAGAAAACAACACACCAATGTTCTTTATGATATAGATGTGAGAGTCATCAACAAAATACTAGCAAACTGAATCCACCGATAATAAAAAGGCTTATATACCATGACTAAGTGAAATTTATCCCAGAATGAAAGTCTGATTCAAAATACAGAAGTTTAATCATTGTAATACACCAAATCAGAACAAAGGACCAAATAAACCATGATCATCTCAATAGACATAGAAAAAGCATTTGACAAAATCTAATGCTTTCAAGATAACAACACTCGACAAACAAGGAATAGAAGGGAATTTCCTCAATCTGATAATAAGGTTACCAGATAAATATACAAAAATCAATTATATTTCTGTACTCTCTCAATGGACAATTGGAAAATGAAAACAAGAACACTGTTCAATTTATAAGACCATCAAAAAATACTTAGGAATAAATTTAACAAAAGAAGTGTAGGTAGGGGCATCTGTGTGGCTCAATCAGTTAAGCATCTGACTCTTAATTTCAGCTCGGGTCATGATTTCAGGGTCGTGATATGGAGCCCCACGTTGGGCTCTGTGCTCAACATGGAGTCGGCTTGAGAGTCTCTCCCTCTGCCCCTCCCCCTGCTTGAGCTCTCTCTCTCATACATACGTACATACATACATACATACATACATAAATCTTTTAAAAAAGGAAGTGTAAAACTTATACTTTGAAAACTACACAAAACATTGCTTAAAGAAATGAAAGACCTGGATAAATGGGAGGACATTCCATGATCATGGATCAGAAGAGTTAACATTGGTAGGATAGTAATACTTCCCAAATTGATCTACAGAGTCAATAAAACCCTTATCAAAATCCCAGATGCTTTTCCTGCATAAATTAACAAGCAAATCCTAAAATTGATATGGAAATACAAGGCACCTAGAATAGCCAAAAACAATCTTGAAGAAGTCAAAGGACTCACACTTCCCAGTTTCAAAACTTACTAGAAAACTACAGTAATCAAGGCAGTATGGCAGTTCAGTGGTAGGATAGACATATAGATCAACTGAGTAGAATCGAAAGTCCAGAGATAAACCCTTACATTTATGGTCAATTGATTTTTGACAAGGGTGCCAAGACAATTCAAATGAGGGAAAGAATCATCTTCTCAATAAATGGTGCTGGGGCAACTGGATATCCACAAGCTGAAGGATGAGGTTGGAACCCTTTCTTACACTATATTCAAAAATTAACTCAAAATGAAATCTAAATATGAGCTAAAACTATAGAACTCTTAGATGAACACATGGGGGTAAATCTTTGTGACCTTGGGTTGGCAAGGTTTCTTAGATATGACACCAAAATCACAAGTAACAACAGAAAAAAAATGGATAAATAGGGTGTAAAATTAAATTTTGTGTGTGTGTTTCAAAGGACAACCCACAGAATGGGAGAGAATATTTGTAAATCACATATCTAATAAGAGACTTACATCCAGAATATATGAAAAACATTGACAACTCAGTAATCAGAAGATAACATAACACAATTTTAAAATGGGTCAAGGAACTGAATAGATATTCTCCAGAGATGATATGAAATAAGTGTCTGAAAAGATGCTCGAGGGGCACCTGGGTGGCTCAGTCAGTTGAGCGTCGACTCTTGGTTTCAGCTCAGGTTGTGATCTCATGGGTTGTGGGAATGGACCCCAAGTAGGACTCTGTGCTCAGCAGGTAGTTTGCTTGGGGATTTTCTCCCTCTGCCCTCCTCCCCCCACCCCCCTCCCCTGCTCACACGCACTTTCTCTCTATCTCTCTCTCTTTCAGATGAAGAAATCTTAAAAAAAAGAAGATGCTCAATATCATTAGCCATTAGAGAATGCAAATCTGAACCACAAGCTACCAGTTCATACCCAGTTGGGTAGCTATAATAATAATAATCAGACAAAAACAAAAGTTGACAAACATGTGGGAAAAGTGGAACCCTCATACATTGCTGGTAGAAATGTAAAATGATGCAGCCACTTTGAAAAACCATTTGGCAGTTCTCAAAAACGTCTAGCATAGAATGACCCAGCAAACCACTCTTGGATATGTACCTAAGAAAACATGAAAACTTATACACAAATGTTCACAGCAGTGTTATTCACAAAAGCCGAAAAGTAGAAACAATCCAAATGTCCATCAGTGGGTGAATGGATAAACAAGAGGGTATACAATGGAATATTATTCCACAATTAAAAGGAATCAAGTACTGATACATACTATAACATGGATGAATCTTGAAAACACTATGCTAGATTAAAGAAACCAATCACAAAAGATCACACATATTATATGATTCCATTTGTATGAAATGTTCAGAGTAGACAAATCTACAGTGATAGAGAGTAGATTTAGTATAAGGGAGAGGATTGAAGGAAAATGGGGAGTAATAGCTAATGGTTATAGGATTTCTGTTTGGGGCAATGAAATGTTCTAAAATTGATTGTACAACTTCATGAGTAACCTAAAAACCATTAACTTGTACACTTTAAATAGGTACATCGTATGGTATGTGAATTACATCTCAATAAAGCTGTTTTTTTTAACAGTGATAGTTGAAAAAGAACCAAATAGAATTATAGAAATAAAAAGTATTAAAATTTAAACTCAGTGGACAGATTAATTACATCGGAATTTGACACGGCCAAAGAAAGAGTGATTCAGAGGATAATTCTGAAGAAATTATCCAGAATGCAGCACAGAAAGATAAATACGTGAAAAATGTAAAAGAGAAATATGATTTCTGTGCCCAGATAAACTATCAGTCAGTAGTGAGAGCCCTTTCAAATCTCCAGTTCCGATTTTGTTACAAGCTTAAGTGTTCTTTGACACAAGAGACAACAACTAATAAAGTGTTGCTGAATAACATGTCCATTGTAGAAAATAACAAAATAACATTTCCACAGTACTAGTTAGTAATTCATGAACGACAGAGGAGATGGATTAAGATTTGAGCTTTCTTGTGTTCCTGCTCTCTCTCTCTCTCTCTCTGTCTGTCAAATAAATGAAGTCTTTAAAAAAAAAAGATTTGAGCTTTCTTCAACAAAGTTGAATAAAGTTAAAAAAACTGAACAAAGTTGAAAAGCAGAGGTAGTTCAAATACCATTAAAATGACGAAATTGGTTTTCACGTGTGTCTTATGGAACCCATTGAATGCTTCATGGTCCTATAGTGCTTACAGTATATTAATACATTTTGCATTTAATTCTCAGGAGGACTTATACCAGATATTAATAAGTCACTATACTTTCTGGACATAATTTAGTGTTTTTGTAAATAGATTAGTATTTACCCTTTTTTGAGCGCTAACATTCTCAGGGTATTCATATAACAGTGACTGGGTGTCTACTCTGCAATGCACTGCACACTGTAGAAAGTTCAGGACTTTTCCTCAAAATCTGTTTATGCCTATGTTTTGTTACCCTTTGATATTTGTTGAATTGAAACTAATATCTGTATATTCCTGTCAAGGACTTCAGACCCACCATCTGTTCCGCAGTCTATTTTATTGTTTTTTGAAAGCTGGAAAAGTAAACCCTTGATGTAGCTGCTTTTTTGTGAAATGAAGAGCATCTTGACCAACTTGTAAGTGTATCTTCTTAACAGTTCTTGAGCACCTAATACTGGTACAAGGCACCGAGCCGCCTGCAGTGCCCCAGACAGGAGTCACGCCTGCCCTGGTGACATTTGCATTCTATTGGGAGAAAGGGGTGGAAAGAGTCTATCAATAAAGAAATGAACAAGGAAAAGATGAGCTAGCATATTAGTTTCCCATTGCTACAGAAACAAATCACTACACATTTAGTAGCTTAAAACGACACGCATTTATTCTTTTACAGTTCTGGGGCAGAAATCTGAAATGAATCTCATGGGGCTGAAATCAAGGTGTCTGCAGGGGTAGTTCCTTCGGGAGGCTCTGTGCACTTGCTTTTCCAGCTCTTCGTGGCCTGGTCCTGTATTCCTCGGCTTGTGGCCTCTTCATCCACCTTTGAAGTGCATCACTGCACTGTCATCACATCTTCTCCTCGGACTTCTATGTCCCTCTTACACGGCCCTTTATGATTAATTACATCCAGTCCATTCAGATATTCCAAGATAATCCCCTCCTCTCAAAATTTTTGATCCCATTTGCAGAGTCTCTTTGCCATATAAATTAACACTCACAGTTCCAATGCCTGGACTTGGAAATCCTTGGGGGTCCATTTTCCAGCCTACCATAGCAAGCGATCAGCACTACTAGAATGAAATTTGCATGCCATGATAGAGAGGACCTAAAATAGCATCTTCAGGTCGAGTGGTGAAGGAAGGGCCTCTCTGAGGCTGTGTCTAGGCTGAAATCCAAATCATGGGAAAATTCTGTGAGGGGGTGGGGGGTGCACATTCTAGGCCGAGGGAACAGCTGGTGAGAAACTCTATAGCAGCAATGAACTTGGTGTGCTGGAGAAGTTAATGCAGCTTGGACTGGGAGAGAGTTCCAGAATGGCTAATGAGTCTTCAGTCCACGCTTGCTTTTGCAGAATGAGAACACTTAAAGCCCCATCCTCCCTCTTGGTATTTTATACGGGAATCTGCCCGAAACTACTATCATATCAGTGGAGACCTCTTGTGTCACAAAACATAGGGAATTGTCGTGGACATCCCAGAGCACCCATCCAGGCTGAGAGCCCCTCATCAGGCAGCACGGTAACTTCAGAAGAAGGTAAAACCTCAAAACAAGAGCCTGTTTGGACTGCAACTTTCAAAGTCTTACTGATGTTGTCATCTGCAACTGCTTCTTACAAGTCTTGTTCACATAAACAGGATTTTGATTATTTCAACTTGGGCAGGAGTTAAAAGAGGAAACCTTGGGTGCCTGCCTCTGGGGAGGTGTGGTGCTGATTTCCAGGGAAGCCAGGCCGGCTCTCCTTCGGGCTGTGCTCTGGGTAGGGGGAGGCCTGCAGCAGAGCTTTCTCACCTGGGGAAAAACTGTTGCACCAAGTGGCTGCTCCTCACCTTCTTCGGCTTCTCTCCTCATTCCTTTCTACAAATTTCACTTTCCTTGCCCTGAGCATCGTCAAGTCCTAGGGTGACTTCTGGTTTAGTTTTAAGCTTGCAAGAAACCAACAAGCGTACTTGAAGAGCCTAATACAAATGGCCTCTTGAGAGGTCTCCCACATTTTTTTTATTTGTTTATTTGTTTATTGATTGATCAATTGATTTCTTTATAGAGCATCAGCACGGGGAGAGGGAGAGAGAGAATCCCAAGCAGACTCTGCACTGAGCACAGAGCCTGTCACAGGGCTCAATTTCATGATCTCAAGATCATGACCCAAGCCAAAGTCAAGAGCTGGATGCTTAACTGACTGAGCCACCGGGGGAGTGGGGTGGGGGGGCTGCTCCCACCTTTTTACACCTACAGCACATTTGACAGTGCCTCAACTGTACAGCTTCCATTATGGTCCTCCTTGAATTCTACTTCTTGCACATGTATTAAAGGCTTGGGTCAAGGCCAGTTCACTTTGCACTCCTACACCGATCCCTGCCCGCCCCGCCCCCCCAGCAGAGTGCCTGGCACAGAGCAGATAATCAATACTCCCTTTTTCTTTTTGTTCAACAAACACTTACCAGGCATCTACATGCCAACCTACTGAGCTGGGAGCTGAACGGCACTAATCTTTTTTTTTTTTTTAAAGATTTTATTTATTTATTTGGGAGAGAGAGAGAGAAACAGCATGAGAAGGGAGAAGGTCAGAGAGAGAAGCAGGCTCCCCGCTGAGCCTGGAGCCTGATGTGGGACTCGATCCTAGGACTCCGGGATCATGACCTGAGCCGAAGGCAGTCGCTTAACCAACTGAGCCACCCAGGTGCCCTGAACGGCACTACTCTTAATATCCATGTGGCCCAAGAACTGACCATTCTCAAAGACTTCTAAAGGAGCAGAATGATCCTAACCAGGAAATTATTTCCACAAAGGAGAGTTAAATATGACTGAATATCTGTTTGTCGACTTGCATAGTTATGAACCTGGTCCTTTAATCAAATTTCAACCTTGGCACTCAAATCAAGCCATCTGTGATACTTGCTAGTTTCATGATTGCTTGTAAATCTCTGTCTTTTCTGATTCTGAACTACACTGCTGAGCTGTGGGGTGTTAAAGGTTAAGCCTCTGCTCTCTTTCCAGCTCCTCGGTTGACTGGCTTGCAGCAGAGAGTGAAATGACCCCATTCATCAGAAGGCACAGAGGTTAGTGCTAAGACAAAGGGTGACTTGCAAAGTTAAGGCAGGGATTTTCAAGCTTAAGTGAAAATCAGCAGACATACTTGAAGAGCCTCATACATATTGGTGGTAATTGTAAGGTCATGAGTTCATCTCAGTATGGCGAATGGAACCCACTTGGCAAATCTTAGGAGTCAAATGCTAGAAATCTGTTAAGGAAGGAGGCAGCTGCTTCCACTGCTTGAAACCCAGGGCTGATGTACTATTTCCCCCAACATCCAAGAACACATTATCTTTTGGTCCCCAAGCCTGATGTTTTATAACCTGCAAAACCTGATAACATTGTCCCGGAGTCCAGGTGGTTGTTTCTAAGTCCAGCCACATCTCATTCCCTTGGTGTTCCCATCTGGGAACAGTGCCTTCTTTGTGTACATTTCCAATTGAACTTTATCAAAAGAGTGGTTTAGAAGCCTCATATCCTAACAGCTCGTACTAAAATGCAACTGTACCCAAATGGAATTTTTTAAAAACTAGAATAAGAAGACCTCCTTATTGGGAGGATGTCTCAGATATTAAGTCGTGGTTCCTGCCGGGAGAAGCCTGTTCCGGATCCTCGGGGTCTGGGCTGGGGCTGGGGCGGAGACAGAACAGGGAGCATCAGGACCCACGCACCTGCTCACTCTGAGAGGAAGAGTTACCTCCGCAACACCTCAGCTCACCATGGTTTTCTAAACCTAGTAACGATCTCGTGAATAGCACAGCTACATTGCATTGGCTTAAACGTCATTCTTTTTTTTTTTTTTTTTTTAAGATTTTACTTATTTATTTGAGAGAGAGAGAGCACATGAGAGGGGTAGGGTCAGAGGGCGAAGCAGGGAGCCCGATACGGGACTCGATCCAGGGACTCCAGGATCATGACCTGAGCCGAAGGCAGTCGCTTAACCAACTGAGCCACCCAGGCGCCCCTTAAAGGTCGTTCTTAATGTAAAGTTTAAAAATGTTCAGCCGTTTCTGCAACCAGATCTTGGCATTTATTAAGTTTCTAATACATTGGGAGCTTCCAAAACTACAGGTGGCAGCCCCTTCCTCCATCCTCGAGAGTCCATGCCCTGGGATCCCTCAGATCTTTGGGGTCAGCGAGTAGGGTGCACAGGACGGGGGTCAAGTAGGGAAATCGATACAACTGGGGGAGGTGGATCCCTCTTCCCGCAGTCCGCAAAAGCAGCACGGAGGGGCGCCCGCGGAAAGCGTGGGTCTCGGGGCCTCACCGCCCCCCGTGCGGGCTCTGTCCAAGTAGAGCAGCATCGCGAGGTACCGACGCCTCGCGGGATCCGGGTCGCAGCGTCACCGGGAGCTCTCTGACGGCAGTAAAAGGGCAGGGGGTGGCTGCCCCGCCTCGGGCGCCTCAGGTGGGGACGCCCCGCCCACTCGGCCCAGCTCGCCTCCGCCCCGCCCACCCCGGCTGGGACCCGTCTCCTCCCCGTCCGTCCCTGCCTCTCAGCCACGCCCACCCCGCGCGCCTCAGGTGGGGCCGCCCCGCCCACCCCGGTCCCGCCCACCCCGCGCGCCTCAGGTGGGGCCGCCCCGCCCGCCCAGCCAGCCCCGCTCGCCCGGCCGCGTCAGGCCGCGTCTCCTCAGTTCCTCTCGGGCGGTGGCTGCGGCAGCGGCGGCGCTACAAGTTTTGACATTTTGGCGGCGGAGGAGCGCGTCGGCACTTCGGAGCCGACGGCTGTGGGAGCAGCCGACCCTCGAGGGCCTTTCAGCCGCACCCCGGCGCTCCCGCCGCCCAGGGTCGGGCGGCCACGAGGCCCGGCCGCGTCCTCCCGCGTTCGCCCGCCGGGCGCCTGCAGCCATGTCGCGGGGGCCGGAGGAGGTGAACCGGCTCACGGAGAACACCTACCGGGTAAGCGAGCCCAGCACGGCCCGGGACCTCGGGGGTTTGAGGGCGGGAGGCCTGGGGGCCGGGGGCGGGGCTCGGCCGGGAGTGCGGGGGCGGGGGGGGGCCCCGAGACTCGTGGAGGACAGGGGCTCGGAGTCCGGAGCGGGGAGGCCCCGCGGAGGCTCGCGGTCGTCGCCGGGGGAGGGTCGGGGCGAGGAGGGGACTTTGAGCGGGAACACCCTCCCCCGCGCCCCTCCTGGCGCTGGAGACGCCCATGCTGGCCCCGCATTTCACAGCCCTACGTGCCGGGAGGGCGTCGGAGGAGGGGGGGTGGTGGGGGGGGCGGGGGGGGGGGGGGCCCCCCCCCTCCGGGGGGGCCGCGCTCTCCTGCCCGGCTGCTCCTCGGAGTCGGAGTCGCGCCGGCGTGGCCGCTGCGCCAGAGCTGCCCCGGACGCGAGAGCAGCGCCTCGTCCGTGCGCGCGGGGACGGGGGCGAGCGCCAGCGGCGCGCGGGGTTCGGGCCGCGCCAGGTGCGCCTCTGGGGGGCGCCGCGGGCTCCCGGCGTCCGCTCCCGCCCTCGGGGACCCCCTGCCGCGCGCGGCGCTCCGAGCCCCTCCGCCTGGACACGCCCACTGCTCGGCGAGGTTCCGATAAGATGGACCTAACCTTCAGGAAAGCGTTGACGGTCACCTCTCTTAACTTGCATTTCTTGTGAAAGCGTTTTTCCAATAACAGACACAGATTTAGGTTTAGGGGCCAGTTTTAGTAAGTTTGAGTCCTTGTAAATGAATTCCAGTTGAAATAAGATACGTGCTTAATCATCTGCTATTAATAGACTACAAAACAACTTTTGTTTTAATTCGGCTTAGGCTCACTGAGCACAAGTTCTCCAAATTCATTTGTAGCCGTTTTTAAGGCCCACAGTGTGGTCACTTGTATATATATGTATTTTTTAACCCTAAAATTGGGTTTCTAGATGCGCAAGGTCTGAGTGAATTCCTGAAATCAGAGGGGTTTATTGACTGTTGTAGGATAAGAGTAAAGAAGGGCATGAAAATACATTCGTAATCTATCCATTGGGTTCAAAATACTGATTCCCTTCATCTGGATACACAAATAGGTAACGTGAATTATACTTTCTGGATAGATATGGTAGACACAGTTGACACAGCATTTTTGGTCTCAGTAACTGTGTTGTCTTAACAGAGGGCAATTTTTAGAAATCCCAGAAATTTGAATGTTAAAGTTTTACATTTGTATTGAGATTGTTAATACTTAAACGATCCTGAAGATGGTGGGCCAGGCAGTGTGAGGTGTTGGCAGTGTGTAAATAAAACACTTAGACTTGGGGAATTGGAGCTGCTCTGATGTCTCTCCGTTAAGGAAAAACTGTATGCAGTTGAGGAATGCAGATCACTGCAGATTTCAGGCAGTCTAAGTATCTAGTGGGGCACAAAAACACGTGAACACCTAAATTGCCTCCAAGAAGACAGGCACATATTATCTTTCCAATCTGGGATGATAGATCAATTTGAGACAAGCAGTCAGATGCTCTGAAGTTAACTCTGCTTTTTCTCCCACTTCCTTTTACTTTTAGCAATGACTCAGTGGAGGGGCTGTACTCAAGTGAATTATAGCACCACAGGTGCCGACCCCAAAGAACTGGGGCAGGATGCAAAAAGTGTAGATTTCACAGTTTGGGTTATACATATTTATGGACATTAGGCCGTGTAAATCATTTTAATACTTTGCAAAGTTTTAATAAGCTGAACATCAGAGACTAGTTACTACTTCCATTCTCGGGTGTCTTAAAACATATTAAAAGCTCACAAATCTTTGTTGCTTGTGACCTTAATCACCATTTTTTTCATTAATGTTTTGGGATTGTGTTTTTTATGTTGAATGGTAGTAAAAGAATTTACAGCTCCAGACAGCAAGTTTATATATAGCCTATGAAGTGAATACTGCTGGCTCATGCTTTGGGTGTGATGGAAATGCATAGTGAAATTTTACATTCACAGGTCTGTTTGAAAGCCTGAAAACCTTCACCACCTCCTCATTGAGTTTTTCCTCACCCCCCACCCCTGACAACCAAAGCTGAAAACAATTTAAGCTTAATATGGTAAAAATCTCACAGTGTGATGAATCCAGTTATTTTATTAATTTGTTTCATTTTATTTTGAGAGAGGGAGGGGGAGGAGGTCGGAGGAAAAGGGGGAGAGAGAAAATCTTAAGCAGACTCCACGCCAGCACAGAGCCAGGATAAGGGACTCAATCTCATGACCCTGAGATCATGACCTAAGCATAAATCAAGAGTTGGGCGTTTAACTGACTGAGTCTAGGATTTTTTTAAAAAGAGATTTTGTGGGGCGCCTGGGTGCCTCAGTCATTAAGCGTCTGCCTTTGGCTCAGGTCATGATCCCAGGGTCCTGGGATCGAGCCCCGCATCGGGCTCCCTGCTTGGTGGGAAGCCTGCTTCTCCCTCTCCCACTCCCCCTGCTTGTGTTTCCTCTCTCGCTGTGTGTGTGTGTGTGTCTCTCTCTCTCTCTCTCTCTGTCAAATAAATAAATAATTCTTTAAAAAAAAAAAAATAACCTATGGTGTTTTACTAATAGAAACATAACCTAACCAGGTACGTTGACAAAAGCACCTGGAAATGAAATTTAATGACTTGCTAGTATGGATTTTAGATTTTTTTTTTAAATACTCAAATTTCTCCAACTTTGAAATAAAAGAATAAGTTCTCTGGAAAAAGTGGGGGATTATAAACTAGTGTAATTCTCTGTAATGCAGTATCAAATATCTTTCAGCATTTATTTACACATTTGCTGAGCTCTCTAAAATGTGTACTTAGACAAATGCTTACTGGAGACCCATGCTGAATCCCAGGAGGATGTGTGTTTTATGGCTTCACGAACAAATGATATGATAATAAGCCCCAAAATGTCAAGTAATGTTATTGTTGCTAATTAGAGTTCAGCCAAAGATCCCTCCCTGTCTCCACATGGTATGCCCATAATTTGCCCTCAGTGCTTGTGATTTTTGCATGGTTTTCTGATGAGTACATGCTTTAGTGGTATGAGGAAGAAGTAAAGTTCAAAAAAACCCTTAATTAAGAGTAACCACAACCTTCCTAGAAGTTAGAACTGCTAAAGTCTTAGGAAGTTGAGGAGGCTTCCTCAACTCATACTCATACATGGGTATGATGTCATCCATCCTATACCAACATTACTCTTGCTAAGTAAGCAGCAGTGAAGGGGAAAGGAGGGGGAAAGGGGCACATAATTGACAAATTGTCAGTTCAATTGTTTAAACGAATTGACATTTGTTTAAATGTCACCTGCTCAAACAACTCTTTAAAAATTGTTTAAAATTGCCATCCATCTCCCAATCCCACTAACTTTACCTTTCCCACATAGTGCTAGTACCTTAGGATATTCTATATAACATACTCGTTTATCTCTCATCCGTCTCCAACTAGAATGTGAGCGCCCAAAGGAGAGGAGCTTGGGCTTTGTTATATTCTGAACAGTTACTGGCCAGTATTAGGTGTGCGAGTTTGTTGATTATATGAACATTTATTTGATTTATTTAGTGAATACCTGTGCTAGGCTCCCCTGCCTCCCTTAACACTTTTCATAGAGCATTTGTTTCATTCTAAGTATACATCAGCCCTCCAGGTGGATGTGGATTTTGTTGTTTACTGTTGAGAAACCTACTCCCAAAAGTCTAGGAGGGAGCTGTGTCCTCCTGCCATTTACCCTGCCAGGCTCCATCCCTCTCCTTTTTGTATAGCAGTTTAGTTTCTAGTGGTCAACAAATGCACAATTCAAATGCCTTTTCATAATTTGGTGATCTAAGATATCACCAGAATTTTCTGCCATTTTGTTCATCTTTGTTTTGAACAAAAATTTGTTTAATAAAAGAATGAGGTACTTTTGTCCTTTTATTGGGTCAAACAAGCATCTCAGCATGTGTACTAGGTTTTGTTTAATGGTTTTATATTTTCCTGACTTGGGTTTTATTGGGGATGTGGAAGTGAAAGTCCCTGCCTAGATGGCTTCCAGTGCGGACTCTGGTATACAGGTCTAGCTTGTGAAGGTTTCAGTTGCCTTGTATGTTTATTGGTGTAGCTGTATACACTATTTGATATCTTCATCTGTTCCCATAATACTACTTTCTTCAGGTATGCTGAAGATAAAATGGGATTTGCAGAAGCCCAGACAACTTGCTCTTGGCTCCTATGATGACTATAAAAAGGGACTAAGAATCAGGTGCCAGGTAGCAACAGAAAAGAGTTGCCAGGTATCAAATATTAACTGAACAGCCCAGTATTGTAGCTTTTTGCCTGGTAAAATGAAAATACAAAGACGAACAATGGTTGTCTTTTCCTGTCATAACATTTTTTCCTGATTGGAAAGAGGTCTTAGAATTATGATAACATTGCTATGTAGACAGAGCAGTGTCCTTTATTATAAAGCTTGGGACCACTTGGCCAGGTGACACCGTTCACAAGTCTCAGGTTGCTTTTGAGTTTACATTTGTGACATTATTCCAGTATTGGGCATTAATTCTTGCTTGGCACTTCTGTTGTAATGAGCCACAGGCAGACCTGCAGGGGAAACCTAATGTGCATGGAATTTCAACAAATTGGATATTTGTTTTTATCAGCATTCCACACAGCTATTTATTCTGCAATTCAAAGGTAAAAATTATTATAAAAGCTACACAAACAATTGAACTTATCTGTTGACATTTGCAAATATATTTATTTCTTAAACTTCTTATTGAACCATAATAAACATATTGAAAGTTGTATATAGCTCACAAAATCATCAACAAACTGAACACGTATATATAACTAGCACCCAGATCAAGATGCAGACCATGACCAGCCTGAAGTCCCTTTTGTGCCTCCTTCCAGTCTCTGTGTTCCCTGAAGTCCCTTTTGTGCCTCCTTCCAGTCACTGTGTTCCCTCCAAGATAACTACTCTCCTTAACTTCTAAGCACTGATTAGTTTGGCC